ATGTCTGCTTCCAGTTCCAAGAAGGCATGAAATTTGTTCATTGCCATAGGTCTATCAAGTGGCAGAAGCAAATTAAAATATATGTCTGCTTCCAGGTTGACTCCAAAATCTGTCACTGTACAAGCATTGCCTGAGGAGACACTGATGACATCTCTAATATTATTCTGGTTTGGAAGTAATCCTGTAGGGTAGCACTCGAGTAAATAAAGTTACCCCTTGAGAACTCAGAAGTGAGGTGTTTTAAGAGTAAAATAATAAGAATTTAATATCTAAATAGGTGCAATCAAGGCATCGGACTTTTACCACCAGGAAAGTTTTGCTTCATTAGGAAAGAAAGACCTTATTATCCCAGTGTGATTAGTATTGGTAAAGGCTTCTCAAAGGAAATCCACTCAAAACCAGGACCAAATTTTAAAGCAATTAGGAAAAAAAGTTTGCTTGGAACTTTATTTGAAACTAGAACTCATCATTATTAAAAACATTTATTCTATATTGTATTGAGCAAAATTTATGTTTCAAGTATAACTGTATGCTAATTGTAGAATGAATAATTAATAAATCAAGAAAACTACCAGTTGCTTCATTTGGCCTACAAAATGTGAAGTATCTGTCAGTGCTCACATGATACCTGAAAGTATGATGCCTTGGCCTTGTGGGGGATTTTGAGGTGAAGGAGGCTGACCTTAGCCTGTTGAATATTTTGAGCTGAAAAAGATTGAGAGAGTCACAGAAGCAAAATCTCTCCCATATTCCCCTGCCCTGACTCCCTTTTATTCCCCTAAAGTTGGTCATAGAAACTAGAATTGCTCTTCTCCAAAGTGAGTCATAGAAACCAAGAAGGTCACACTATGAATCCCACCTTTTCCCCTGAAAACCTGCATATGACAAGTACCCTGCCCAAGCAAAAAGGCCAGTTGATTACCATTAGGTCATAGCCCCTTAGGTCAATCATACTTCTGTAAAACTTTCCATTCTACACTGGGGAAGGCTCTCATGTCATTGAAAACTGTGGTTAGATGAATTTGCTATGCTTTTCATTTGTTAACATGCCTTTCATTACAGGAGTCTCTGTTGTGAAGCTTGTGACTATGACAGACGAGAAAGATACTTTTTATCCTTTGTACACCTTGAACATACTTTGCTTCATATTGGACTTTTACAGCATATCAAAAGCAGGGTCGTGTTGGAAAACTTCATCAATTTTTCCGAGGGTATCAACTCTTTGATATTTTAAGGATTCTTTTCTGAAGCAACAATACAGCCATCTTCCCTATTGATCTAGCCTTCACTGTAGTTTATATCTCCTACCAATTTGCTAGTGGCTTCACAGGCCTCACATGGACATTGACACACAAAACCTTACACCTTGTCAAGATTTGCAACTCCATTCTGGCCAGAATTGAGTCTGTGGGTATTGTACTGTGTCTGTCCCACAGAGAAAAACAAAAGACTAACGTTAGGAAAGACACTTGAGCAGGCTTAGTGACCCAAGCCTGTAATCTAAGCTGAGGTTAAGGCAGAAGGTTTCCAGCCCAGCGTGGGCAATTTAGGGACTAGCAAGGCTCTGTCTCAAAACAGAAAATACAGAGGGCTTTGAATGTAGCTCAGTGCCAAGGCTCTCGGTTCAATTTGTGGGATTGCTAGGAAGGAGGGAAGGAGGGAAGGA